GAGAGAGAGCACAAAGGGAAATTGCTAGGCAACCGATCAGTCTCTCCAACAGCCCATAGCTGCAGAGTTCCACGGGCCTTTATCCTGGCACCTCTTGTGTTCAATGTTTACTTTTATTAATATAGTGCCAAAAATGTGCTGGATGCCTGACAGGCTAATTAAGCACTTAAATTGCCTAGAAGTGCTTACAGTCTAATTTTGGACATGATACAATGAGTTATAGCAGCAAACAGTGAGAATAACGGAATGGAGAACAAAGGTTACACTCATAAGATCACACGGTTATTTAGGTTTGTTAACTGAATGTCTTAACAGTCCCACAAAATATACATAATATTATAAAATATGGGTGTGTACATGTATCTATCTACATACAGATATGATATGTACTCTGAAAACCACCTGCTTTTTATAGTTTTTATCTGGAAGGATTGAATTGAGGTGAATATGGGAGTGTGGTGCTAGTTATGAACAATTAGAGCCACTATTCAGTGTGTTCAGTAGGAAACATATAACCAGGAGGTAAGGGTCTGTGTAAACAGGAAATAAAGACAGTCTTGAATTCACCTAAAGCACAGCGTGTTGTGTCTCTATAATCTCTATTGGGAGGGTGTGAGACTGGAGAAGTTGGTAAAACAGGATGGATGGAGAGAACTGGTAGAGCAGACACAGGCAAGAGGAAGGACTTTGTAACAGACAAAGGATAAAGGGGCAAAACACCTAGCTTGTTTTAAGACTGGGCTTGATAAATTTATGGAGGGAATGATATGATGAGATTGCCTACAAGGGCTATGTGGACCATCCACAACTGCTATTAGCTAGCATCTTGAACAGCTAGAGATGGGACACTATAGAGGGAGGACACTGAGTTACTACAGAGAATTCTTTCCCAGGTGTCTGGAAGGTGAGTCTTGCCCAGATGCTTAAGGTCTAACTGATCGCCATGTTTGGGTCAGGAAGGAATTTTCCCCTATGCCAGATTGGCAGAGACCCTGGGAGGTTTTTCACCTTCCTCTGCACCATGAGGCATTGGTTACCTGAACTAGAGTAAAGGGTGGATTCTCTGAAACATGAAGTCTTTAAATCAAGATTAGAGGATTTCAGTAACTCAGCCAGAGGTTATGGGCCTACTACAGGAGTGGGTGGGTGAGGTTCTGTGGCCTGCAATGTGCACAAGGTCAGACTAATATGATCGTAACAGTCCCTTCTGGCCTTAAAGTCTATGAGTCTATAAAGGCAAGTCAGAAATATTAATGCAGATGACAGGGTGAGGTAAGACATGCAAGTAAATTCAGCTGGTGGTATTGAAATGAATTAAATAAATATTTGGCAACAGAAAGTCAGTCAGTAGTTGTTGGTGAAATCCACAGAACTTTTTTTTGGAGAAAGTGCAGGAGATTCATAGCAAGTCTACAAGCTAACAAGAAATTCCTCTAGTATGGAGGCAGTGGGAGAACTTCCCATGGATCATTCAACTCTGGATGGAACATACTGACCATTATAATGATGTGGGCCATTATAATAGTGCTAGCAATGCTACTATTTAGGGACAGGAAGGAAAGAATAATATTTATCTAATGAAAATAGCAGTTGGAGTATGGGAAGGTATAATATTCTTACTTAGTGTCCAACCCTGAAATCCGTTTTTCCCATGAGTGAGCCAACTGAAGCTAAAGTGACTACTTGCATAAGTGACAACTGGGCAGAGGAACATAAAACACTACCTTTGTGAAAAGTACCATGGAATCTCTCTTGACAACATGTGGGGAGAACTTCAATTTCATTGCTTTTTGTATGATTTTTCAGAATTATTTTATTAATTAAAAATCAGTTTGCCTCCTCCAAAGACCAATTATTAAATCTTGAGCAGAAATTAACCATTTCCAAATCTGGTTCTAGAATTACAATCTAATCATATGCTGAGGTTTAATACAAAATATCATGTTATCTAACACAATATGGGTTTTGACTTCTTGAAACCTTGCCAAAATATAATATGGATGGATTATTTTCAATGGCAGGGGCAAGAGCTGAAATGAAGCATATGAAACAACTGAAAGGCAAATGTGTTTCTTTGTTTAGTTTGGCAGAAAAATATAATGGAGCCATGAAAGACTTTAACAATGTAGTTTTTCTTCTGTTAAAACAATTCCCTCAATCCCAAAATCTCATTTCTTATAGAACACATTGAATGACGATATACCTCAGCATCACTAGCCACATGAAATATTAAACTTTCAGTGGGAAAAACTTTTAAAGCCTTACTGGATCCAGACTGAATTTTGGATGACTCATGCATTACAAATTACTTCTAATACTCATTGTGTGCTCTGTTTTTTCACTAGATTTTTGTTTTCAGAATTTCATCTCTGCTTTTGTTTACATATAAAGGCCACAGATTGGAATTAAACTGAATAAACAGAAGGAAAAAATATCACTTGTAAATTATCAGGGGAGGAATGATAGTCTTGTCATTAAGGCACTGACTGGGGACTGAAGGTCAGGGTTCAGTTTCTGGCTCTGCCATGATTTCTGTGTGGCCACGGCAAATAAACTAATCTCTATGGCCCAGATCCTCAAAGGTATTTAGACTCCTAACTTTTGAGGATCTGGGCTCATATGCCTCTGTTCTCCATCTGCAAAGTGGTGGTGATAATTCCCTGCTTCCGAAGGCTGTTGTGAGAAAAAAAATTGTTAATGTTTGTGGGTTGCTCAAGTACTATAGTGATGAGAACATCTAATTTCCTGGGCAGATAGACATGATAGATGTAGATTACAGCTAGTCATGCTTTCATTTTTCTAGTGAACTAAAAGTTTGGCCCAAAGTCTGACTCAGACACAATTCCTCTCATAAATCCATGTTCAAATAACCAAAGAAAATGATACCTCCCATGTCCTATGCAGGCTCAGCCAGGAAGGATTGAGATAATAGGCCCATTCTTCTTCTGTGTCTGAGTTTACAAGAAGTGTGGGGAGAGAGGTTGTCAGGTTGTGTGAGAATCCTGCTGGGGCTTAGGTGCAAATTAAAGAGCTGAGCAACTTGGCAGCATTGGGACGTAGGTGGTTTTTCACATGCCAATCAGAGAAAATGTAGATGCCTAAGAGACTTTCCTGGAAGAAATGTAGGCAACTAGGGAATTTAAGCATCTACAGGATTAGGCAGCATCTGAGCAGGCTTTTGAGGATATCGGTAGGATTACCAGTCCTCCAGGATTGGTCTGGAGTCTCCAGGAATTAAAGATTAATTTTTAATTAAATATTATCATGTGATGAAATCTCCAGGAAAGACATCCAACCAAAATTGACAAGACTAGATCTCAGTGGTGACTATATATGTTGGACCTAGGGACCTAAAGCAGAAGTTAGGCCCCTAAGTCCCATGATGTATCTAGCCCTAAAGCACAGCAATGATGTGGACTACCTTTGTAAAGCACTGTATCTAGATATCATTAGGTGAGATAATCTCTGGGTGCATAATGGAGGGGCGAGGAACAAATGTAGTCCTTGCATTTACTTGAGAGCTTGCCTGCAATGAAAAAAAGTGACATGCTCTATTCTTCTAAAGGCTGTTGCAATGCGGATAATACCCCTCTGCATTGGGGAATCGATGGGTACACAATTTTTCTCAGTGATCTCATTCTCCACTTAATATTCTGGAACAATTAAGGTAACTTTGATCAGTGTGAAGGTGTTTTGTTTCTGTAAAACAAAACAAATGTAGGCACTAAAAGTCAGATTTTCAAAAAGTGGCCTCTAGATGTGCATGCATGTCACCAAAATATCGGGTCCACCTAGCTGAGAGCCAATAACAGCCAGACAGGGATAAGGAAGAGTTGCTTTATTCTGCAGAAGAAAGGAGAGTTTTGCACCTTGGTACAAAAACTCTGTCTTACACACATTTTACAGATCCTTTATACACATTCATACAAAGATCCTTGCAGTGTTAACACTTGATTGGTGGTAGTCAGACCCGTGCTTTTGCTATCTGGTCAGTGAAAACCGGCTTGGGACCAGCTCCAACTACCTTAAGGCCTTGAAGGGAAAACAGTTGAAAAGTTCAGGCTACTGTGTACTTGAAGTGTCTGCTTCCCCCAATGGCCGTTGGTTGACATAAAGGCGGCTCTGTTAAGGGGGGGTCACTAGTAACTTTCACATGCACACCCCTGCATTCTTTATCACTCATACATACAAATAACATTTTTGCTTGCAGAATTCTATATTCTGTATTCAAATGATTGTGAGCTCAGAGCTGTGTACACAAAATTAGAAACTTCGTTGAGATCCTTTGAAAAATTTTGCCCTAAACTTATTAGCTGTTACTAAGAAACCAAATACTAGAAAAGGAGCTTTAGTAGCTTGTGGTGATAAATTATATGAATGACTTTTCTCAAAATATATAGGGACAAATTCTCTGCTGGCATAACACTATTTTCTTCAGTGGAATTTTACCAGCAGAAAATATGGCCTATGAAAATAAATTCATCAAATTTTGTTTTAAATATATATATCTATACATAGATATACATATTTTCAGATAGAATCCTAGCTGTTGTGCCAGTCAATTTAGTTGATCACTTGTACAACATAAATCTTCTTTAAGGAGTTGAACTGAAGTTGGCTTTGGAAACTGAAATGCTGCATCTAAAGAAATCCATGCTCTGGGATCTGATTTAAATTGTATCTTAAAATAAACGTAACTGCTTGGTGACTCTTAATTGTGTTTCTAATCTGCGCTGAGGATGGGATCTCAGAATCAGAGAGCTTAAACCTGATCCCTTGCAGAGCACAGCTGAGAATCTAGGCCTATGTTTTCTATACACATACATCTCTCTCTTACATGTATATCCACATGAGCTACAGTGTACTTAGTCATATATGTAAAAGTGTATTATACTGTTCAAAATCTTGTGGATCAGGATTTATTTTTTTCATATTCTTTTGAACAACGTTGTTTCTCAGGAAACTTTATTAAGTATTTATTGTATTTGTATGTTATTCAGAAAGCTGAAAGAAATGAAGAGAGACTGTTCCTTAGTTACTACCTTACTCCTGTTGTTGGGCTGTGTCCCATGGCATGTGACTGCAGACTCAAAAAATGGAGAAGAAGACCAGGACATCCCAGGTAAGAGTTTACAAGTTTAACCCTTTCGCCATCTGAAATTGCATGAAACAAGAATCATGGACCTTAACCTTCACCACTAAAGGCTTTCCTATTGAACTCAGTGGAAGCAGAACTGGACCTTATCTGAGCAAAGAGCAGTCCTAATAATGTATTGGACTGTAGCTCTTGCAGTGAGATACTAAGAATGTGGCATAAAAAGTGACAGAACTTATGAAGTATAGTGTATGTGTGTGTGTGTGTGTGTATAAATCAGTTATGAAGCTCTTTCCAAGCTACAGCTTCTGGACTGTCTCCCAACATTCCCAAACAAACCCCATGCCAGCTGCTAACATCACTCTGTAAGAGCTATACTGTGAATGTGTCCTGTGCAATTGGGCAGGGAGTAAGGATTGCTCCTTGAATGTTTGGGGAATAGGTGGAATCATGGCTGTACTCTCCACATGTACCAGGGGAAGGAATATGATGGTCTGGTAGGGGGTGAGGATACACCACTCTCCTTCCCTCCACAAAACAGGAGCTCACAGAATCGCTCTTCTTTTCAAGAGTTGTTCCTCTGATGGTGCAATTAAAGACTGCCCCTTACCCAGGCACACCAGGTTTTTTCCAGGCGTGCCCATTTTGAATACACAGTTACTACATGTGCACAGGCAAGTGTATTAACTGCATGTGACATTAGCTTCATGTACAAAACTTAGAGGCCACGTTTTAAAAATTTTGGTGCAGTTTTCAAAAAGTAATAGGTCTTTTTCTCTAAGCCATTCAGAACATAGCATGACAACATCAACACAGGGCAAATCCTGGCCTATGGTGACGTGGCAGTAATGGGCATATAAACGCATCTGTAAGTAGGCATTCACACCAGATTACCTAATTCTCAACAGGTTGGGCCCAATGCAGAATGGTGTAAAGAGTAGCTCCATAGCTACTCAGTGGACAGATGGTTCAAGGCTGTTTAGGGGACTAGGAGCTCTCTTAAATGGACTCCCTTCCAGGTGGGCCTCTTTGCATCCTGCCTCTCTGCCGTGGGAAGAGAGAGAGGCAGGATCTTGACCCTCAAATTGTTGAGTCCTTCAAAGAACATAGAGTATGGGTCTTGTAATAAATGCTTTCTCTGCCTCTCTCAGAGTTACCCTGGTGGATTGATACCTCCCCCAGCTGGCAGCTCAAATTTAGAGACATCAACTGGGTGTCCAGTTTAAGGGAAGCTTGTATGTATCAACCAGAGACACCCATGCCTCTTCTTCCTTGTCCCCCCACTGTCCATAACCACAGAGCAGGGAAAACATTGAGTATACACAGTACCTCATAGATAATATCCCTAAAGGCTAGTGGGAATGGAGTCTTAGAACAGGAGGTGACCGCCACTGATTGACTGGGAGGATATCAGAATAGGATTAGCACTCTATAGACTCAGGATGGGCTTCATAGCTCTAGCATCAGGGAGGGAGTATCTGGCCCAGGATGAACAGTCATCACCCACACCAATGTTCATTAATTCTGTGTAGTCATCAGCTACAATAGAAATATAGTCAGTGTAGTCGGATTTTATTCCAATCAGTGTCACCAAATTTGAAAATAACATCCTAGCTCTGCACCAAATAAATTCCCTCCTTTCATAATCAGGTTGGATCATTCTAGAGAAATTTGCCCTTACATTTACCTCTCAGCCTTGAAGCCCATAAATAAACTTCCTTTTTTGCAAAAGCTGACATGACCTTGCATAGCATGCATCCTTTCTATACTGTACAGTACAAACATTTTCTTTTTGACAAACTCATTGCTTCCTAAAAAAAAACAGGAGTACTTGTGGCGCCTTAGAGACTAACAAATTTATTAGAGCATAAGCTTTCGTGGGCTACTGAAGTGGGCAGTAGCCCACGAAAGCTTATGCTCTAATAAA